ACACACACACACACACACACACACACACACACACACACACACACACCCTACTTTAGCATCTGCTGTGAATAAATTTCACACTTTTTAGTGAAACATATTTGATTTTGGTTGTGTTTTATCACCTCAATTCTGAATAAATGAAAAGTTGACATTGAAACTAAAGTACCCCTGAGGTAGTGTTATTTTTTCCACTATTATCTGTTGGGGACATATAGCAGTTCATTTAGAATAGTTAGTATCATTCAACTAAAAAAAGAGCTTTTTCAAAATATTTCAAATGATAAAATAAGCAATTATATCGTTGTGCCTCTTTTGGTACATGCATCTCTGTAACTCTGTGTTTCATTTAGAAACACTTTTTTAGCTAAAGGGCAGTACTAAATAATCAGCCAACTTTAAAAATGTGAATACTCATTGAGGAAGCTACAGACATCTCTGATTATAAAAACCACCTACAAACCACTTCCCACTCAGCTCTTTGCTCACAGATAAGCTACTGCAGCTCTCAAGAATACGCCAAGAAATCATTATAATGAAGGCTAGTGGAAGGCAGCTTCTGGGTTTGGTCTTTGCCATTTTCGGCTCTCTTGGATGCATGGCCATCTGCATCGGCTCCACTTGGAAATTTGCTCAAAATAATGGGCTGGGTTTGTGGAAGTACTGTGAGAGTCGGGACGATTACTACAGGACAGTATGTGAAGCTTATATTTCTCTGGATGTACCTCAAGAACTGAAGGCTGCCAGAGTGCTCACCATCATGGCCATCGTCATCTGTGTTTTTGGTATCATGCTTGGTGTGGTAGGGGGCAACTGCACCACCAATGTTCAGGATGAAAGGCAAAAGACTAAAGAGGCCTGTGTTTCTGGAATTGCCTTCATCATTGCAGGTGTCTTGGTGCTCATACCAGTCTGCTGGACCACAATCACCATAGCTCATGAATCCTACAATGAAGAATACAGAATGGGAGCTGCGCTCCACATCGGGTGGGTGTCTGTAGGGCTGCTGATACTGGGTGGAAGTCTCCTCTGCAGCTCCCGTCCACTCAAAAAGGAGACTAGCTATGATGTCAAGTACTCCCAACCTCCCTCTGTGTAAATCAGGGTCTTGTAAAAAGAAAAAGCAGTTAATTAGAAAGAGTAAAAGCTCTTTGAAACTTAAATGTGTAATTTGGATGAGTAGTAAAATCCAAAGTTTGTGTATTTAAACTTTCTGTAAAATCTGACTGAGCAGCCACAAGTTTAAATCTGTGATTTATTAAACTGGTTCAATATTGATAATGATTTGGATTATTGTCTTACTTGCTGTTTTTAAATACTTCTTTTTATATTTGGTTTTTGCTTGTCTGTTCAATGTGTGATCATGTACCATTAAAATGTACATTAAATGTGAGAGCATGTGAGAGCAGACATTTTTTTGTTGCATCTGATGGCAGTGGCTCTTTATTTTCAAACATCTAAATAAAGAGTCTGATTACAATTTGTGTTTGTGTTTATGTCTTCATTTATAAGATACTAAGGAGTTGTGTATATTTTTGCATAAAGAGTGGGTCAAGGGAGAGAGAAATATTCAATTCAGTTCAGTTGTATTTATTTATGCAGGTACCTCAAGGTACTTTGTGCTACAATAATAGTATAGCCAACAGTAGTGTGTGCCCTCATAAAGATGTATTTCATGTTTTTTGTTTACAAATAGTCTGATAATGGAATACAGTATAATACAGGGACCTCAAACATGTGGCCCGGGGGCCACTTGTGGCACACGTCACCCGTACTTGCAGCCCATATATTGACGTGACGAAATATAATGCAGTTTGGTACTTGAAGTTACTTTTTTTGTTACTTTTTTTGTTACTAGAGTTTGTTTGTTGTTGAGTGCAATGTTAAAATAAGTTCTTAAAAAGAAAAAAAAATAATATGAATGCAATATGAGCAGAGAGCACAAACCTGTTGAGGGATTCGCAGTGTTAGTTCAGTAGTGAGAGACTTATTTCTAAAGAAAACAATACAGTCAAAAACTAACGTGTACATTTATGTCTGCATTTTTATTTTGTTAAATACAAACAAAGTTATAGCAGAAGTGTTGCCACGTGTCTGACCAGAATGAGAGCACCAATGTGTTTATTTGGTAGTTCAATGAAAGGTTTTCGGTTAGTTAAGAGTGAGAAAAAGAAATTGTGTTCATGTTTGCAGTTTTGTTTTGTTATACAATAATCGAAATTTAAAAAACCAAACAAAACACTACTTTTTCAGAAATATTTGTGGGCGTTTGTTTGTTTTTATACTTCTTGAACACTAAAGTGGCCCTCCAATGAGATGACGGTACCAGCCGTGGCCCACGGCTCATTTCAGTTTGAAACCCTTGGTGTAGTGGGTGATTTAAAAAGCAAAACTTTCACAGTCCTCATAATGACACCGAGAAGGGCTTGATTAAACACTTAAACTGCTAAAATTAGCTTTGGACTTTTAATCATATGTTAGTTTGTAGTGATTTAATCACCAAAAATGTTTTTAGGAATTCACATTATGTACAAATGAAATGAAAAGCCAAAAAGTACTACTACTACTACTACTACTACTACTACTACTACTACTAATAATAATAATAATAATAATAATAATAATAATAATAATAATAATAACATTGTTGACACAGAATATCTACGAGGCAAAGCCTCACAAGTGGGGGGAAATACAGGAACCACCACAAGGCCACTTCTTTTTCAGTTTAGAATATAATTTAGTGCCAAACAGGTCTGATCATTAGTCTATTAAAGACACAATCATCCTTTAATGAGAAAACCTCAAATCAAAAATAAAAGTTGAAGTAAGATGTTTTTCTTTGCTTTATTATTTTTTCATTACTCTTCTAGGCATAGCTTGAAATAAAAAAAGCAAAGTGAGCATCAAACCATTGCTACAAATGTTTGTGACCTTTGCTGTTTGGACTGCGGTAGTGATGTGTCGGTCGCGAACGAAATGGCTCTAGAGCCGGATCTTTGACGTGGACGAGGCGAGCCGGCTCCTTATCGCGAGCAGTGGGTTTTTTTTTCTTTCTCTCACCCTCTCTCAATCTCGCACTTTTTTCGCTTCTCTTGTGCTTTGCGCTGGGAAGAGGGGGGAGGGGCGGTAGTTACACACGCAGTAGCACAGGAACAGAGCGGGAGGGAGAGAGAGAGAAAGAGAGCCAGGGTCACATTAGAAAGGTATAGTAATCATCCACAACTATTTTCAGTTGCGGATGATAAAGGATTCAGAAAGTTTA